AGGCTTTGGTTTCAGAAACGCTGACTGAACTTGGCGGAATGTCCATGAGAGCAACTCCACGTGACTGGAAACAGGCACATGGTTTTGTAGGTAAGTCTCAACAAAACTTTTACGGTCAAGCAAGAGCAATCAGACTGCAACTACAGGAGCGATACAAAGTGCAAATTTCCGTGCAACATGCTGTTTATCCATGGATCGTGAAACACGCTCAGTTTACTTTGAATCGCTTTCTCACCCACTCTGATGGAAACACCTCATACTTTCCACGTTGGGGAAAGAACTATAGCTCGACTGTGTGTGAGTTCGGAGAAACTGTTTTGTTTCGCTACCCTGGAAAACTAAAAGACAAAGGAGACACTGCATGGAGCACTGGCATTTGGTTAGGACGTGACACTGAGGCTGATGAGCACATTGTGTCCACTGGAACTGGCATCACTAAGGTGAGAACTATCAAGCGACAGGTCCCATCCAAACAATGGGATCAGAAACTGTTTCTGAAACTTCAGGCAACTCCTTGGGATCCAAAAGCAAAACAGGTGATTGACACTTCATTTGTTTTGCCTCCAACTTTGACTCCCACTGGAAGAGTCCGTGAACACCAGGACTCGAACGTGAAACTCAAACGGATACTGAGGATTTACCAACGAAAGAGACTCATGAAACTGTCACTGAAACGCAAGACGACTTGAGACTTGAAACGCTTGAGACGACTGAAACTGAAACGAGACTTCCACCGGAAACGAGAGTTAGAAACGAAAAACGAACTGCTGAAAATCAAGAACTTCCTGAAGACTTGCTTCCGGATGACAAACGACTCACTATTGCTGCAATCGGAGTTTTCTCTGTCACTCTGAAAGACGGAACTGAAGTTCCCGTCGCAGTAAACGAAGACTCTGAAGAGAAACAGACGGAAATCAAACTGAATGAACCTCAACTGTTGAGAACTGAACCAGAATTTCCTGGTGAACTTGTCATCGAAGGAATGCAAAAGGAAATGAAAAGCATGAAAGAATTTGATGTGTATGAAGAAGTTCCAATAGAACAGTGTTCGCAAGAAGACATTGACTCAGCACTATACTGTAAATGGGTGAAACGCTGGAAAACTGCAAGCACTGTCAGATGCAGACTCACTGCTCGCGGATGCTTTCAAGAAAACATGGATCAAGACACTCTGTTTGCAAGTACACCTACACTGGTGACACTCAGAGTACTGCTTGTTATGATGTTGTCTAGAACATGGTCATGTTTTAGTTGTGACATAAGCACTGCGTTTCTTCATGCACTCATGATGGACCGGGTAATGCTGATTCCACCAAAAGAGTACTATCCTGGACAGAACTGCCTCTGGAGGCTGAAACGAGCAACGTATGGTTTGAAACAAGCGCCAGCACTGTGGCAACAACACTTTTGCTCAACGATGCTGAAACTCGGAAATTCCTGCAAAGCTGATCCGAACTTGTACGGTCATTCTTCTGGCGACTTGTATGTCCTTTGCTACGTAGATGACCTTTTGGTTTGTGGAAAGCACGAACTTGCCGTGCAATTCACTAAAGACTTGGAAAAGGAAGTTTTACTCAAAATTGAAGCTGAACTGAAGCCTGGTAAATCAGTAAATTTTCTTGGACGCGTTTTGCGACATAATGGCGACAGCGTAGACATTTGCATGCCGCAAGACTACATCACTAAGACACTGGACTTGTACAACATGGTCAAGGCTAAAGCAGCAGGAACCACGGGTACCACTAGTTTTTCACATCGACTGGACTTGGATGATCCACTAAGCACTGATGAACACAAAGTCTATCGCACTGCTGTTGGAAAACTGTTATGGCTAGCTTTGATTAGACCAGACATGTCCTATGCGACTAAGGAACTTTCAAGAGACCTGACTGCACCGACAAACCGAAGTTTACTGAAACTGAAACACTTGCTGAGGTACCTCGCTGGAACTAAGGACTATGTGCATCGACTTTGTGCGGGGATCACTCTTAGTAGCAACAAATGCACTCTTGATTTGGACTGTTTTGTGGACAGTGACTGGGCTGGTTGTCAGCGAACTCGAAAATCAACTTCAAGCGTTGTTGTTAAACTCCTCAACTGCCCTGTAGATTTTTGTGCAAGAACTCAGGGTACTATCGCGCTCTCCTCAGGAGAAGCCGAGCTGTACGCGATAGGACAAGGAATTTCCGAAACACTGTACGTAAGAAACTTGATTCTCGATGCGGAACTGGCAAAGAAAGTCAAACTTCACATTTACACTGACAGCACAGCAGGAAAGAGCATGGCAACTAGGTTTGGTTCTGGAAAGAAAACCAAGCACGTTGAACTGAGATTTTTGTACATGCAAGACTTGGTTGCGCGGGGAGACCTCCAAATACGCAAAGTTCATACTACTGAAAACTGCGCCGGCCCCTTTACTAAATACCTGGACACTGAGACTTTGAAATCACACTTAGGTAGGTTATGTGTTGAAACTGTTTTTCGTTGTTTTGACTTGTAACCTCAAACTATACAGGCACTGTTTGACCAAGACACTGCGGAAACTCACTTTGGTAGACTAAGTTTTCAAAGGGGAGACTGCTGCTGAACTGCCGCTGAACTGTAGCTCCAACTCAGCACTCTCACTTCGTTTTCTGGACTGAATTTGGCCAAGAGCTCACTGAGTTTTACTTTTACTGAATTTCAAGAAATCAAATCTGCATGACTGTTTGAACTGAGTACTGAACGGTACTTGAGCACAGGAACTGGATTCGACTCTGCAACTCGTCTTCGTGGTTCAAACTCACTCGCTGTTTGACCGCAATGACTGGTAGAGACTGAAAAGGAGTACTACCAGGTACTACGTCACTGTAGTGCTGCACTACCTCCTCTCTGACACTGAGGATGGCAACTGGGACTGCCGCCGTGGCTGTCGCACAGACTGGAGAGACTCAGAATACTGAGGTAGCACTGACTGCTACTCCTGACACTGAAGCCTACAATATTGTGATTGAGATGCTGAAGAGTCGGGAACTGGCACTTAGTGTCACTCAGCTGGAACTGTTGGAAAGTGTGACTCGCCAGATGCTGGATCGTAACTCAGCACTGGAGAAGAAGTGTACTCTCAAATTGCTCAACCATACTGAGCTGTCATGCACTACAGTGGACCCACTGTATCTGTGCCGTACTACTCGGCTCACTGCGACTACCAAGTGCAACTCCTTTGGACTTGGACTGTTGGTCGCTCAGAAGACTGGCTATGAATCCACTGATGATGTGTGGATTGGCGTACTCTCACCCAACTCGGTGTTCCCGGTCTGAGTACTGCCCACTTCACCTACTCAGAGACAGAACTGCGACTGTACTCGCAGCCACTGCAACGGGTGACTACTGAGTACACTCACCTGACTGACAGGCAGGTGGACTACCCTGTCTTCCTGTCACTTCCACTCACACTGTCAGACTTGGCACTGGCAACTGGGGAAATCCCAACTGAGTGGTTTGATCGTTCACTGTGCAACTTGTGGACTGATCTTCGAAGCGCTTTGCTGTACTCAGCACTGCAGCTGTGGAAAGGTCAGGAGAACTTTCAGAAGTACTCCACTGAGCCACTGAGGGTCACTGCTGTGTGGCTCGAACGCACTAAGGTTGCTGGACTGAAGCAATTCAACTGAGGATACTTCAGCCACTCCTATGTGAATGCAACTGGTGCTGTGAACTTCGAATTGACTGACTTAGAGACTGAATCAAGTCAGACCTTCCAGACTGCCTACACACTGGCGGACTTTGCTGGCTCACTCTCCAAGGAACTGAATGGCACTCGCTACTGCAATGCTCATCGTCGTTTTCTCTTTGGGCACTTGCCACCGACTCAGTTCCAAATGGAAAAGGCTGGACTTGCCAGCACTCCAGCTGAACTGAAGAAGTTCACTTGGGACTACAACTATGGCTCCGGAATTGCGGCCTTGCCAATCACTGCGACTGGCACTGATCTCGAGGTTGACATACAGACCAGCGGACTTGGACTGTCATCCACTAACACCGTGATCACTGTGAAGAAGGCCGACTGAGATGACACTGAGAGACTTTGAATTCAGACTGTTAGCAATAGGAGTAAGCACTCAACTGAGAATGCTGAAGACTAGGTTGACTGTCTCTGCATGAGACTTGGAACTAGCACTTTAGACTTTCACAAGTGTATTGAAGTCTATACTTCTCAAGACTTGGACTGTTTAACTTGCACGTACTGTAATAAGTGTGGATCCTCAGTCACTCAACTGGACTGCTGATCCAAAGGGGAGTGTTAGATATGACTGTCACTCTGCACTCCACTGCACAGTACACTGAATCTACTGCACTGCCAAACTATGGTTTGGCTCAAGCCTGGTTCAAGGCACTAGGAACTCAACTGACGCTGTGAGACGTTGTACTGCTTCTGATAGACTGGCGTGAGTGAAAACTAGAAGCTGACTGATACTGCACTGTTTGGTGGACTTGAAAGTGAACTTGACGCTTCGCACAAACAAACAAACAAACAAACAAACAAATAAGCAAACAAAACAAACAAACAAAACGAACAAATAATATATATATATATACGAATACCAAATAGGTCCAGATGGAACGTTAGAATATATGCCAAATAGAATGGCAAATTTTAAATCAATAGAATGCGAGAATAAATTTGAAAGAGAATGCTAGATAACATGTCAAGCCAGATGCCAGAAACTATGCCGAATAAAATGCCAGAAAACTATGGAAGATAAACTGCACAGTGAATCCATGACAGGAAACATCCAAGAATGACTGGTTGATGTGGGATGACAATCAAAACCATCAAACAAGGTGGGAGAACAACAAGAAAGTTCTTTCGGGTGGCAAGCTGACCGCGTGGCTTAAAACAATGAAAGCAAAACACTTCCTAAGAATTCTCACTTTCCAACGCGATGGTGCGAGGGTAAATTTAAACAATCAACATTGGAAAATTGACGTGTTCCCCACCGGGCGCAATGCCAAGCCACGTGATTTCACCATCTCCATTATCCAAAAACTCAAACAAACTCAGCAAGTCGTGGTATTCCAGCTCCAATTGGCTCATCCAAAACCTGAGCGCAGTTCGCCAACAACGTTGGCTCCGGCAAAGCAGAATATAAAAAGATACGAGACGGCAATTCCATGGCTAACCCCTAGCGGCCCCTTCTGTAGACCAAAGCCCGGCAGGCCACCAGAAACCGCGGACAGCCAATTTCCTCCCGAACCAGCCAGCCCCCCACCAACGTCCCCGGAAGTGTTCACACAGTATTCCAAAACATTCCAACAAGACATCCGAAATGCCCTCGCTATACCAAAAACTGTCGTGTGGTTCAAGTGATGCTGATAGTTGGTGGTCTAATTTGTTAAGGTGTCAGCCCCTCGCAGCACGCAAAATGCACAACCACCTTGCATTGCAAAGCGCGCGTTTTGCCTTTTCCCCGCGAGATGATCGTGCAGATCGCGACCAAAACTCCAAGGGCGAGCCAACTTTATACCACAGTTGCTCTTGGCGCCGACGGCGCGAAGCGCAAGTCCGCCGAGTGAAGGTCTCTGTGAAGGCATCAGTCTGAGACCGATCCCCTTTAAGCAGTGCCTTTTCAATGTTTAGTTATTGGTTCGCACCAGTCAGGTTATTTTGTAGAATCTTAAGGGTTTGGCTGCGCTCTTGCCCAGTGCCTTTCCAGCAGACATAGGAATGGTGCCGACCCATCTTGTACGAAGGGAAATCATTATCCAGGATGTTGTAATTTTCCTGGTGGTTTGCCCCCCCAAAAAAAGGACTTCCCATAGCATTTTTCCTATAGTTTCCCTACATATTTGGTGGGTTCCTGTGGCCTTTTTTGGGGGTGCCAAACCAACCGGAAAATTGCTACCAGGATGTCCTTCCGAATGGGGGAAGGGTTTCCAACCGAAAAACAAAACTCTAAAAAATTAGGTCAACCCTGGCGACCCCATTCTCTAGATGAAATTCAAACAAAACGAAATTTCCGCGCTTTCTTGCCAAAGTTTTGCCGCGCCGCCACCTTGTCAGGGCTTTGGCATTCTTGGCGTATCGTTTTAGAGCTTCCCGCGAGCGCGTGTGGAGCAGCGGTCGCTCTGAAGCATGCCCCCGTAAAAGAACAGGGAAAAAGAAGTACACGCGAAAATTGGCGAGTGTGAGCAGCGTTCTGTGCCTGCTGAGTTGATCGGGCTCTGCTTGGCCTTTGGACATGGTTCATGGACAGAGCGACTCTAATTTAGGAACATTGTGACTGTGCAGGTTTTTCCACCGGTTTCTGATGCTTGGGCCCCGGTGGTGGCGCCAAAAAAAATTGAAAGCTCTCGTCTGCGGCTGCACCCTTGTAAGGCCAAATCTTGGTCTTCTGGCACAGGGGCTGTCAAGACAGGAGCGAATCCATTTTGCATTTGCCGGTATCTGTTGGTGTTGATAGATAAATATTTTCACAGTTGTTGGGCAAAAAAATCAACAAGCCATTCGTTGACCCATTCCTGGGGCGCCGTGAGAATTCGTGAGAGTGAGGTGATTGAGACCTCGCGTCTTAAGCGGTGCTGGACATCAAACTTGCCAGCTACCTCCAGTGAGGCTGCGCGCCCTGCACAGCCCGGACATTGATGTGGCTCGCCCATGCCGGGAAAAGGGGGGCTGGATGAATCTCTGATTGCCGGTGGCAAGAAAACAACATATTCTGGTATGAAGCAGTTTCAAAATGACATTGGAACCTCATGGATGGGGATGAACAAAATATCCCAAAGCCAAGTTTTCGGAACTGTTTTTGCGGAAGGCTCTGGTTCAGCCACACTTGATGCGGATTCCCCCCTGGCCTGTTCTTCTACGCTTTTGCCCGGGGAGTTGCTGAGGTGTTTCTTGCTTTCCTCCAGTTTCTACTGGGGGGCAAAATGTTCCGGTTTTGGTTTGGGGCCAAGGATGGATTCTGCGAAAACTTTGGCGTAATGTGGTGCACTGGCTGGATGAATGAAAATATCGCATTCGAACCTTCTGTGCGGTTGTTGGGGCCATGCCCCAGAAAGATCAAGAAAGTCCATGCGCATGTGTTTGGTAGCCTGCGCAGCACCGGTGGATGGCATGTGCTTGCCACTTGTCGGCTCTAAGGAAAAGCCAAGCCTCTATCATACCAGGTGTTTGGCGCTCCTTGAGATTCCCAGTGGTGTTTGCTGGTTGTGACACTGTGGCTTTCTGTTAGCAAGCCTGCTGCGTGGCATAGGCTTCGACGTGCCTGAAGTGATATAAATAATCTTCATGGCTTTCTTTTTGGACGCGGTGGTGCCACATCGCTTTGCGTTGGCTGTCTCTATTTCCGCATTGCGTGATGAAGATTCCTGTTGGCAAACCTCGCTGAATGGAGCTTCTCTTCCAGTCGCCATTGGTTGACGGTTGACTGACCATTGGTTGCGCTGGACAAACTCCAAAGCTGAGCATCGGTCAAGATGTTTCTGAAATCGCCCTGCTTGTGTTTCCGCAAAAAGGACTGGCGGTATGTTGCTGGTACTGCGACGAGTATCGTGGTTTTTCCTTCTGCTGCAATACCTCGTGGGAGGTTGACGGAAATTGCTGGCTTTGGCATTGGGAAATCGATTTTGCTCAAAAGCTTGCAGGCGATCTGGATTGGTTGGAATTGGTTTGTGCCTTTGTACTACGCCATCACCAATCTGGTTGTTGCGCCATCCTTTTTGTTGAATGGACCTTGCCAGAAAATAGTCCTTATTAGTGTATGCTTCGGCACTGTCCTGGACTCCTGGAGTAGCATTTTGGTGCTGTGACCAGGAATGGGCCACTGTTTGCTAGTGGTCCATTGATCTGCTTGTTACTGGGCTCAGTGGCCAGTCTCCCAACACTGTTGCTTGATTTTGCATGTAATCTGTAGTTGAAGCTGGGTTGTGCCTTCGATTTTGGGGACCATCTTGGTTGCGCCACAAATAGTCATTGTGCCGGTGGCTATCTAATTAGTTGGTCAGGTGACGGTCACTGGCCTTGGATCTTGGGTATGTGGGTACACAAGACGGTTGTGAATGTTGCTTGTGGGAAGCTTATCTTCCTGGGAGCACTCCCAAGCTAATTATTTGTGTATGTGCTTCAGCTGCTTTCAAAAATGATTGCAGGTGCTGAGCTGTGGCGGTTTCGTTGTGTTGCGGCTACCTCCTGCTCCTCCTACCCAACCGTGGTATGTTGGGGTTGCTTGGTGCAGGTGCCCAGCAAGCAATAGTAGGCTATGGGCACTATACAGCTTGTTCACGGTGTGTTTCCAAATTGTGCTGGCGTGCCTGGCATGTGCCTTGAGAAGGATTTGTCAGGTTGCTGTAGCATTGGTCGGCGTGAAAGTTGTCGTCATTGTCTTCTCTGGTGACGTTGTAGGATGCCACGTGCTTGTTTCAGTAGGTGCACACGTTCCGGCTGGGGGACCGCTCTATCCTGTTTCAAAAGATGACGTGCACACATTCGCTTCGGAAATTGAAACGGTCTTGAATTATCGGCGTGGCCTGTTTTTTGGATTTCTTTCAGCCGTGGTGAAGGAGCAAAAGCGCATAGCAAGGTGCAGCAGCAATACTGGAGGCTAGATAAAGCACAGCGTTTATTGTGTTTTGCGCCACAGCCACACTTTGGGCCCGCCGCCACCACACTGGAGGCACGCGAAGTCTGCGAACTCGGGATAATGTTCGGGTAGGGTAGGCTCCTGCGAGTCTGCAAGCCTGCGTGGTGTAGCCAGCTGCGGCCAGAGGAGGTGCAAAGAAGGAGGAGCCATCACCTGGCATCATCTCTACCGAACCTGGCTTCAACACCCCACGCTCCCGAGATTTTTGATTCCCCAAGCAGTGTGGCCACACTTGAAATTCTTACGGTAAGGGTTAAAGCCGGGTGTTCATTCAAGGTGGTCTCGTCCGTGCCCGGCAAACTTGGTCTCCCTCGCAGCACAAAAGCTCCTTCATTCATCTTCCGTTTTTGGCGGAAGTCTCGCAATCCGTGACCGGCAAATTAGGTGACCGTTACAGCACTTGTGCTAAAACGTTGGCAGGCATGGCTCAAAATGGAAGATGGTTTTGGAAATATTTTTTGTGTGGCAGGCGCACTATTTGGTGAACTTGGACGACATTTTGAAAGGGTCGAAAGTTTCGAAAGTCTCGTTTTGTGAAGCGCTCGTCCTTTTTGATTTCGGACATGATGATGATTGCGTGTGGCCGGTGCGGCACTTCGGATGCCTTATGCTCATTTTTCGTTGCCGGCGCTATAATTAATCAATTTGTAGACCTCTGTCAAAAAAGCGCCCAGAAACCCATATGTAAATCGTCGCTTTTGACATTTTCAATGTTCGTATTTCGTGGTGAACGCATTTTCTTTTAAATGAACCGCTGTGGTGCGGTGCGAATTTTGAGATCGCTCGTGCAACCCTCTCGTCACTTTGCCCGGGTCAGATTGCTCTCGTTGTGACGCAATCAATGCGAATTTTGAGATCGCTCGCGCAACCCTCTCCGCGCTTTAATCCGGTCTCGTTGTGGCACGATGCGAATTTTGAGATCGCTCGCGCAACCCTCTCGTTAATTTGGGACTGTCAGATCGCTCTCGGTGTGCCGCGGTGCTCATTTTGAGATCACTCGCGCCTCCTGGCCCTCTCGGCACTTTGGGCCTGTCAGATAGCTCTCGCTGCGGCGCTGTGCCCGTATCGATAATCAAGGAAATCTTGCGCAGAAATCTTGACAAGGAGGTCTTGTATAGAGAGCTTGCTCAGAGATCTTGCCATGATCACCTAGATCTTGCCAAGAGCCCTCCAGAGATCCTGCAAAGAGAGCTCTTATAGAGAGCTTGCACAGAGATCTCTTCAAGAAATCTTGCCAAGAGACCTCTTATAGGGAGCTTGCACATTGAACTTGCCAAAGAGACCTCTCACAGAGATCTTTGACATAGAACTTGCCAAGAGGTCTTGCCACGAAAGCTCTTATAGAGTTATATAGAGAGCTTGCGCAGAGATCTCTAAAACAGATCTTGCCAAGAGACCGCTTTTGGGGAGCTTGTGCAGAGAGCTTGCCAAGAGACCGCTTTTAGAGATCTTGTACGGAGACATTGCATAGAAATCTGTTGAGATCTTGTCGGTCCCTTCAAGAGATCTTGCCAGGAGGTCTCTTCATAGATCTTGCCAAGAGAGCTCTTTTAGATAGCTTGTACAATCTTGTACACAGGTCTCTTCAAGAGATCTTGCGAAGAGACCTCTTAGGGGGAGCTTGAACAGAGATCTTGCTTTGAGATCTCTTGCCGAAATCTTCTGTAGAGATAGCCTTACACAGATAGCCTTACAAAGGATCTTACACTGTAGCTTCTACAAAGAACCTATCAAGGAGATCTGCACACCATCTCACAATCTTCCACCGAGATCTTCACAAAGGGAACTTGCAGAACCCAACTTGGAATCTCTTCTTCATGTTCCTTACAACCCACTTTGGGGTCTCTTGCCGGGAAAATGTATGAAAATATTAGGTGGAATTCCTGGATGGGTCGTAGATGCTTCAGCAGCTTCATGCTTCGGAGTGGCTTCAATTTGGGCGATTTCACAAGCTTTGAAAATTCATCGAGGTTGATCGATCCGTCACCCGATGCATCCATCGTTTGAAAGAGTCGTTTCACCTTCCGCATGTACTGCGCAATGTCCTGCCGCGTGACCCAGTGGTGCGCGGCGTGAGACCGCGCCTATGACAAATTGACAAGCTGGGTCAAATCTCCCTGCAAACTGCAAATAACAAAATTCTACCTTCGCTAGTGCCATCCGGAGGATGTGCGCAGTTTATTCCGTTCCTTTTGGGATATTTTGGGATTCGTGTTGCGCTCTTAGCTCTTACGTTAGTCCAGCTGCCTGTCCTTCTCTTTCTGCTTGAAAGCTAATTCTTCGTCGGAACTGGCCGTCTTCATCGTCTGCTGGACGAAAACCTGCAGCTGCGAGGCGGCACACAGCAGCTAGGCGTTGATCAAATTCAACAAAACATAACAAAACCCATTAGAATCTCACCCTTGATTGCCCAGGAACGGCATTCACCACGTTCAGAACCTGTACGGTGCTGGACACACAAGCACTACCGTATTCATCACGCGTGCGCCACCGAAACATGAAAAGCTTGCCAAAGTTCATTTGCCCCAGCACTGCATCTCAGAATCACAAGTGTTGACATTGACCTTGATTGGATTTCACTTGAAATGCGGCTGAACTTTGCCAAAGCACCGCAAAGCCAAGAATACATCTGTACACAAGGAAGAACAGGCTAAACCTGAGACAAGGCCAAAATCAGCGAAACTAAAGCGCGTGGTTACAAGATGTTACAAGAAAGCAGCGAAGTGGCTCCATGACCTCATTGAAACTGCAGCTTGTTGCAATGCTCACCGTTGGATCAAGCTAGCGAAGAGATGCCAAGATGCCATTCACTGATCGATTCCACCAGAATGCGGCACGAAGGCCCCCAGTTCGCAAACAAGATTTCGAACATGGTGAGGAAAGTTCTCGTAAACGTCCCAAAGTACCTGCATCGCAAAAGCGGGAGCATGATTAAGCAAGAAAACTGGGCAATAATTTTCATGTAACGCGTTCGCTTCACCCAAAAGCTCTACTCAATGGCGGCCCCGACGCCCTCCAAAAAAGCGACCCTGCTTCTGTGCTTGATGCCAATCTCGTATGCTGATGTGTCCCGAGCACACTGCAACATACATAAACTGTGTGTATCCTTACACTACACCGCGCGATATTAAATTACACAACATTACAGCATTACATTACTACGTTAAAATAGACAATGCCATATTAAGTCATTCTATATTACATTGCAGTACGTTTCGTTATGTACATTGTATCACGTGAAACTATACTGTATGAAGATGACATCAAACTACAGTGAGTTTCAGTGCGCTATATGCAAAAGGGAGGGGGTGGTGTTGTGAGCGCCATTTTTTTGCATTTTTGAAATTTAATTTTTGCAAAAGATACTAAACCCGCTTCCGCAACAAAAGCAACCACTGTGCATTCCCAACAGCTCTCCCAGGTCTGACACAGATACATAGATTTAACCAAAACAAACATGAATAATAGATAAAAACAACAAAACAAACAAGTGCAAAAGGCCTTTGCAAAGAGTGCAAGCATTGCTTTAAGAATGTAAAGACTCTACATCTCCATGCAGGAGTTTCCCTCAAAATATGCAATAGTTCTTTAAAACATGTGCATTCTAAAATCGTGCTATATGTTCTCTATAAATAATGAAGGAACAGCAAGTAACCAAACAATACGTGTAAAATGACTTTGCACACAGACAACTATTCCTCAATGTATGCAACAACCCTTTGCAAAAATTGTTGCATTCTTTGAAAAATGTGTAGCATTACTTCACAGGGAGAACCCTCCTATATATGTACTGAATCAAGTCAGAAATCCGCCCACACCGCTTTGGCGGTGAAGGCGTGCTTATTGGGGGGCAACAGCAACACTAAATGCTCAATGACATTTGTTAATATAGCAGTCGCTATATCAGCTTTAGCTGGGGGGGGGGCAAAAACGGTTTCGCACCGAGACCAGAATACGGTGGTGTTTTCGACATTTTTCGAGGATTTTTGGGTGTCTGAGCGCAAGAGGGTATTGAAATGGAATTTTGGGTCATTTTGGTAGCTTTCCGGCAATGGAAAAACGGCCAAAAATGAAAAAAACATTGTACATAGCAAGATTTTGCAGGGTTTTTGGATGCCAGAGCATTGAAAACACTGCAAAAACAAGTGTTTTGGACTGACGTTATAGCAAAAAACGTGTAAATTACCGTATGCTTGACTGGAAACATTACAAAAACACTGTCAAAAGCAATGTTTTGGAAGGATTTACTGCCTTTATGGCAAAAAACGTGTAAATTACCGTCTGTTTGACTGGAAACATTGGAAAAACACTGTCAAAAACAATGTTTTGGAAGGATTTCTTATATATATGTTGGAGTTGGCTACTGGCATTGGCACATGGAAAAATTGAAGAAAACACTGTAAATAGCGGTATTTTCAACGGTTGGGGAGATAAGGGAATTGGAAGCATTGTCGAACATGATGTTTTCGACCGGTTTTATGGCGACAAAAGTGTAAAGTACCGTGCTTTGAAGGAAACCATTGCAAAAACATGGAAACACATTCAAAGAACACGGGATTTGGGGGACTATCTAGGCGTCGTTGTCTAGCTATTTGAAATTCCGCAGCTTGGAGAGCCTCCAAGGGAGGGAAAAGTGAAAATTCCATAGCTTGGGAAGCTGTCACGGCGGGGAAAAGTGAAAATTCCCTAGAATTCCCTAGCTTGGGGAGCCCCCACGGGGGGGAAAAAGTGAAAATTCCCTAGCTTGGGGAGCCCTCACGGGGGCGAAAAGTGAAAATTCCCTAGCTTGGGGAGCCCCCAGGGGGGGGGGAAGTGTAAAATTCCCTAGCTTGGGGAGCCCCCATGGGGGGGAAAAGTGAAAATTCCCTAGCTTGGGGAGCCCCCACGGGGGGGGAAAGTGAAAATTCTTAGCTTGGGGAGCCCCCACGGGGGAAAACCACCCTTAGCCCCTCTCACGGACCGAAATCAACCTGCGGTGTGGGCGGCCACCCCACGCGAAGCGGGGTGAATTATAGCATTCCTGTAGGAAAATGTAGCATGCTGTTTTGAATTACTATGGCATGGTTTTGAAAAGAATGCAATCTTACTGTCAAAAGTACCCTTCAAACCTGGCAAAACCTTTCTCAATAAAGTGGCACATTCGTTGAAACATGCGTTTCACATATTTGAAAGTGTAGATTCTTGTTTGCAAAGTGTGCGGCATTCCTGTAAGAAAGTGTAGCAAGAGCCTACTGTAGCTTCCATTGAGGATGCAAAAGCCCTTTAAAATAGATGTAAAGCAAGTGCGGCACCAACTTTTGCTATATGTCCTTTCAAAGAGTATAGCTATTCTATGGAGATGTTTTTTGTTTTGAACAGGGTGCTATGTGACCTTCAAAAAGGCCTTCAAAATGTGCAATATCTTTGTACACGCAGAAGAGTATTGCTTGAAACAATGCAAAGCAAACGTTGTACCGTAAATAAGTACTACGTGCCTATGCAAAGAGTGCAGTAGCATAAGTATCTGCAATATCTCTTTCAAACTAGTGGAGCATTTGCTTGAAAAGATTGCCATATTACTACAAACTGTGCAAAGTCTATGTCAATCAAGGAAATCCTTCCTTTGAAGATGGTCACATATATATATATATATACGTATGTATGTGTGTGTAGTTTTAAAAATCAAGAGTTTCTTGGCAAATCTGTGTAGCATCTCCAAGAAAGTGCAACATGAGTCTGCAGCAGATTGCATTAATGGTGCAACAGTGCTGAGAAGATGGTGATATTACGTCAGCAAAGTGTACCACCAATTTATGCGACATGTTTTTCAAAAAGAACAGCAATTCTGCAACAAAAGTGCGAAGGAGAGTGCAACATTACTCTCAAGTGGTCCTTCACATATGCAAAACCTCTGTGGATACAGCATACCATTCCTTTGAAAAATGCATTTGTTTGCCTAAGAAAATTATGCAGTACGTATATACAGTGTTTATATAAGAAGAAAGTGTTACACCGGGGTGCATTGCCATATCTTTCAGGATTAATTTTGATTTATCCCCCCCCCCGCAAAAAAAAAAAAACAAAACAAAGATTTCGCAACTAGTCCAGAGACCAGAGCCTCAGTTTTTCTGCTTTTGCCTCACTTCATCTGATTTTTTCACTTCAGCTCATCTCAACCCTTGTCATCTCTTTCTTTCTTTTTTGCCTCAGCGCATCTCTTGTCGTTTATTTATTTTGTTCTCGTTACTACAGCTCTACCCATATCAAGTCGCGTCTCCACCATCTCTTTTGCTCTCTGCTCTTCTCAGTGAGTGGCCCCCTCGGTTGTGAATCATACAACGCCTAAAAATATGGCAAGGATAAGTGGGCGGCCCTCCTAAGCCCACTTAGCTTGATATATCTTGCTATTATCATTTTTGTCTTCGGGCAATTTTTGCGGGTTGCTCACATATGAGTATGCCACCGTGTTGTGCCAGAACCACCTCCAAAGAACTTGTGAACTATCTAGAAAAGTAATGAGCCCACTAAGCCGCATGAATCTTATTCCCCTATATTTCCACTTCAAGGGAAAACATGGGAGCAACTCAAAGGCTAGGCGCAGGAACACGTCCACCTTCGTCTGGGGATCTTGGTCAGGATCTCGAATGAAATCATGACACAAGGTGCTGATGATCAGCCCTGCCACACATTGGAAGAAGGCCAACAGGCAAAAGCTCCTTAGCTCAGTGCCATGTCCGACGTTTCCGACGTTTCCGGCACCTCTGGGGCTCTCTCAACCGGTTTCTTCGTGGCAGTGTATCATTGAGTGTTGAATTCGGTCTCTCGAAACACAATAATCAGTGGTCTCCATGTTCTTTCGGGTCCGGTCCATAATAGAACATTGTCCTGCCTTCAGATAGAACATCACAGCTCTGAAGCGGTTCATCCGCGTAGACCATGTTAGACCCTTTCCACAGGCAAACCTGGTAGAGGAGTCGCTTTGCAATATGCCTCCATTTTTGTCGCGGGTTAGGACCCTGCCGTGCTGGCGAGTGTTCACCTTTGACTTCATGTGTCAAGACGAAAAAAAAACATGAAGACCATGGAGGGCCACTTCAAAATGATTGGGCAACATTTTGAAGTATTCCCCGCTGGGCAGCGAACGTTTCCAATAAGAAAATCGTTCTCCTATAGGGCTGAAACTAAGCATTCGGTGTTTGGAAGTTGGGTCGCTGATCCACAAACAATTAGACTGCTTTCTTTTGAGCCAGTTATTCTCTTGAGCTAAACACATCTGCTCTTAAGCTGCATCGTTTCCTTTGACCGCCCCTCCTCTGAGCCACTGGCGCTTTCACACACTTGTTTTCTGCCTTTGCTCTGGAGCCTACTCTCTTCTCTGCGCGACCTCATCCCTGAGTTACTCTGTATCTTCTCTGAGTTATTTTTCTTTGACAACCCTGTTGATATCGCTTGACCTACCTCATTTCTTGCGTAACACCTCCTAGACTGCCACCTTTGCGGAGCCATGCCTTGGAGCCCAAAGCGGTCAAGAGATGTAACATAAGTAGCATATATGTCATATGTAAAATGCTGATTTGAATTCAGATGTTGCAAGATGTTGTAAGCAACCATAGCACGGGCCAAAACAAAATTCACCTGGGGCCCTTCCACTGTTCAAAGATTTCAAAGCAAGCACGCGTCGCAAATCACCAAAGCACAAGAGCACAAGCGCTATGCCAGCTATGTGGTATGCTGCTATTCGCATGCTATTTGTGGTCTAAAATTACGGAGCTGCCTTCTCCCCGCGTAGAGCCGCCCAATCGCCACCGGGCCAAGGGCGGTGCCCCCCTGGCCCGTGGCTCCAAATGGCCCCACTGCCCTAACGTGGCCCGACTTGGTCATGGTTCCAACATGGCCTCAACATGGCCTGGCCGAACATGCCCCACCCACGCCAAAGATGGCGTCTACATGCCTCAAGCCTAACATGGCCCATCTTCGGCCCCAAATGGGCTGGACCTTCATAAGCCGCATAAGCCTTAAAATCATTTTAAATCTACAGTGCGCCCCAAAGAGACCCCCTCACGAGGCCCTCACCGAAATAGCAAACACATGTGTACCAAATATGTCAGTGACCAGTTGTGGGTTCGATTCGCGATTGATAAATCCAACACTTTGTGCAAGCAGAGCCGCCAAAAGAGCATGTTTATGCTCGCAGAGATGCACTTGACCAAGAGTTGTAGCGACGCTAGCCTTTGCAATCAGATTAGCACTATTAACGGTAGTGACAGCATTGAACTGCAGCAATGGCGTTGGCCATGGAAAGCACCATCAAAACAACGGGTTCTGCCAGCAACAAAAACTTTGAACTTTCAACATGGGTCTCTGTTTCACCTTTCCTCGACAGCAATCTATAGATTCTATAGCCTACAGCCTACTTGCCCACCAAAAGAGCGAAAAGCATCGAAAAACCTCAATGCATGTTGCGCAAAGAAATTAACTGCTCAGCAGCATGCTGGTCATGTGGACCATTCGAACCGCGCGGATCAATTTTCCGATTCGCAAGAGTCGGAAAAGCATTGGATGGATTGGCAAAGTCAATGTGTAGAAGACGGCAATTTCCAACAAAGAAGCCACACTCACAGCCACATCCAAGTAATTCATCCAGATCTTAAAGAAATCCCACCTCACGTGGCTCAGAGGGGCTTTACCTGAAGACTTTTTGGAAGACTTCAAGGACCTTCAAGGTACTTGAGATATCTTGAGATATCTTGAGATATCTTGAGATATCTTGAGATATCTTGAGATATCTTGAGATATCTTGTACTTCAAGGAGGTCAGCCAGGACGGTCACAATATGCTGGGTGACTTACCAGACTTTTGCTACTTGGTTTCCATCCTTTTTGGGCACGTAAAATACACAACTTGGTCCCAATATGTCCCAATGTGATAGGGCGATAGGGGGTGAAAATGGGTGAAAATCTTCGCCAATGTCGCTGAAGATCCTAATCACCAAAATTCGCACAATGACATCCATGCAAAAGAAGGCTGTGAAGACCATATCGCCAGCCACAAAAGCCTTGTACCAGGAATCCATTTCATTCTGCACATTGTTCCTGTAGACACCAATCTCCGCACCTACCTCTTGTCCAGAAACTTGGAGTTCAAGGGCCATCCATAGAACGTTGATGCAAAGAACAAACGCGATCAGGATTTCGTATTGGTTTGATTGCAGCCAGAGTGAAAATCTCTGTCTTCTCCCCAATGGCATCCTCAGATAGCGTAAAGTCCGCCGGCCTGCCCTATCTAGTGGATGTCCAACTTCCCTAACCTCATCCTTGCCCTCATGAGAATAATATAGAATAATGATAACAACAGTAAGAACCCTCTTCCTCCTTCTCTTCCTCATCCTCATCCTCATCCTCGTCCTCCTCATCAGCATCAGCATCATCTTCTTCATCATCATTTTCTTCTTCTTCTTCTTCTGCTGCTGCTTCTGCTTCTTCCTTCCTTCTTCCTTCCTTTTTCCTTCCTTCTTCCTTCCTTCTTCCTTCCTCCTTCCTCTTTTCTTCTTTTCATCTTATAATTTCTGTTCGTTGTTTTTCTCCTTGCCCCCCTCTCTGTCTCTCTCTCTCTCTCTTTTTCTCTCTTTTTCTCTCTTTTTTTTCTCTTTTTTTTCTCTTTTTTTTTTCTCTCTTTTTTTTCTCTTTTTTTTTTTCTCTCTCTCTCTCTCTCTCTCCCCCTCCCTCCTTTTCTCTAGTCTTCCTTCGTCAATCCAAGCAGCCCCCGGGTTTGCGCATTTTGGAGGTTTTGGTTGCATCTTAAGGATCATTGATGCATACACCAACTGGCTTTGATTCAACCAGCTTTGATGCCAACTAGCTTTTTGATGCTTTTTGTACTAACTAGCTTTGACGACAACCAGAAATAAAGACTGCCTAGCTTTTCCACCAAGCAGTTTCTGCGCAAAGCTGCTTTTCCACCAGCCAGCTTTTTCAGACTAACCAGGAAATACTGCAACATACTGCAACCAGTTTTTCCACCAATTAGCTTCTACATTCTACATAAGGAAGCTTTTGTAAAAAAGCACACTTTTACACTGAGCTGCTTTTGCACAAGGCAGCTTTATTCAAGCAAATTTAATGCATGGGGCTTTGTGCCGAAGCAGCTTTCTACACCACTAGCTCTTGCACCAAATACTGTAGCCTCTTCACCAACTAGCCTTCGCATCGCTTAATTTACATCAACCAATTTGTTCATCGACTAGCTTCTACACTCTACACCAAGTTGATTTTGACCACCCAGCTTTTACACCAGCAGGCTACAGGCAAGCGTGAGCCAGCCAGGCTTTCCGGCTTGTTTAAAATATCGTATCAGAAGAAAACAACGTGAAAAACAACTGAGGCTTGTCATGGCTTGTCTAATCACACCATGTGGCAGCGGCATTGCTGCAATACATGACACATAAACGTGCTGTGTGCCAGTGGCCTTCTCACACTTACCTTCAAAATCCTTCAAAGGCACTCGCCATTCTCGAACTCCGCACTGGCGCTTGTAACATACCTGAGATCAATAGACAAGATGGTGCGAGACAAGATGGCACGAGACTGTCGGCGTAGCCTATTTTCAAGGCCAGAAACATCCTTAAATTTCTTGCCAGTTGAGCAATGTTCAAAAATTTCAAAACCCCCAGATGATTCATGTCCACCACCATTCCCATCATTCTCTTCCGCCATGTGCGATGGCACTTTCGCGGAGCTTCCCGGGACGATCCATCGGTGTGTTCTCTGCGCATCCTCAGAATCCTATCATGGTTTCGAGATGTTTCGAGTATACGCAAATGTCACACTTAAGTGTTACACAAGTGTTTCCGTGGAGCTTCCGCGAAGCGACTGACAATCCTTGCGTCCACGGGACCTTCCGTGGCACTTCCGCGACTGCGGTTTCAGGTTTGGGGGGTTTTGATCACTGCTCAGTTGTCAAAGAGTCTTATAATGCCACGATGGAAGTCAGTACGCAATTCATCCAAGTGATAAAACGTATCCAATTCCTTGAATCCATTCTTCCTGTCAGGCACTCAAGGTGACAAGGACACTAGCTCGACGCCGGAAAGCCGTACAACAACGTTGGCAGCCCCCGTGTGGCGGAATGCTTTCTGAGCTGAAAACAAACTTGCCATATTATCTCTGGGTGTCGAATGCCCCATGATGCATTGTACTGGTGTCAGATGGAATGAATTTCCTTCGCTTAAAGAGGCCAACATCTGGCTTCATTCTGTCCCAGAGTTCCATTGAGGGCGATGGTATTGCGAGATTGAGCTAGTTGAGTGCAGAAAAGTTGCTGGGTCTTCGCTTTGAGAAATTTCTGGATATCGGTCTGAAACCGATTCTCTATTTTTGTTGCTTCGTCTTCCTTCTCGATTACCTCCAGGATGGAACTTGCATGAAACTCTTTCATCGCCTGGCCGCAAAGGGTCCCCGATGGTCTGCACTAAACAAGAGGATATGATACAAGATAAAATAATGAAGAAGCATGAACAAGATACAAAAGGCTGTTTTTCAAGCACAATTCACTGGTGAAGAGTCTCAGGCACGGCAAGCCTTGTGCTGCTCTCGCCTGATCTCGCTGTAACCTCAGACCCAGCCCAAACATCTACGCATATCTACGCTGTTCCATGTTTAAAACGTTTGAAGCATTATAAGCGTTGCTCTCAAACTCACAGAACAAAACCGTGTCCAAATAAGATACACCTCCAAATTTAGGTCGTTTCGTCATTCCCAGAGATTCTAGATACAATGCGTGCATCATGTTGGATCTACCTATCCTGATTTCTGCTCGTGGAATTTGGCCGTGGAGTCTCACAGTGTCTCCATGCTGACTGTGACTTTGAAGCTGAAATCTATACATAATATAATTACACACATATATCTACACATGCATATAGTTATGTATACATCCCGTGTTGACTCTGTCCGGTCTGTCCACACCGTTCCATTTTTCTTTTCATTTTTTCATTTTTCCTCGAACTGTCTGAATCTGTCTGGGTTTGTTTTCAAAGCATTCTGCATACGCACGTGTGTGTGTGTGCGCGCGTTTCGCAAACAGAGGCACTACAATCCGAGAGCTTTGGTTTTCTTTCAGCCTCAGTATCTTGGACAACAAACGGAAAAATGGTGCAAAACATATCTTGAAGCGTCTTCGCATGCCAAAGGGGTTCTATTGCAGACTTCTCAAGTTTGGAGCCATCAAGGATGGAGTTTCAAAACGCTGCAGACAGGTTGTAACAAGATTGCCACTGTGAATACTACACTGACTATACTACCCTTCCTGCGCTGAATCATCTCATATACATCCTCAGAAGGCTCACTGATTTCGATTCCCAGTCCTCGTTCACGTTCACCTGGAGCTTAATCATATCATTCTGCGAACGCAAGTGCACCACCTCACCTTCCATCTCTCTTAGTCCCTTTTGCAAAGCATCAACGCTTTTTTGCAGGACATTCACCTTGGGCCGCGGAAGATTTGACCATATTTGACCTATTTCCTTGCAAAACAAAACAGGCCAAATTAGATAAATACAATTACATTGATAAATTTACACCAGCAAAATTAATAAAGGTCCCCCGCACACTGCTAGTCACTGCCATCAAAATCAGATACGTACACGTTTAAACTATGGTAGACTTCCAAGAAATCTGTCGCACCTCGTTGAAGTGTTCTTGCAGCAGCGCGTCCATAAGAGACTTAAATTTTGACCTTTTCGACCCTCGGCACTCCGAGGAATTCTCTCCTGATCAGATAGACTTCGCTCATCTTCGCTCATGAGTCATGTTCGGCTGTTCGACTCATGTACGACTCACATCTACTTGACATTTGGCTATATCTGGTTCCTTTTGAACGCATGATGATTATATATTCTTGGACTCTCATTGGCGAGCCTTCCCAGTGTCCCTGTACAGGAAACGGAAGTGGCGGTGGAGGTTCGTCAGGTTCTCCTGGCGCGCAAAGATTTGAACAACGAGAAAACAAATGAACACAAAACTTGAAAATGAACCTGCCAAAAATCCCAAAAATTGATCGTTGGCTAAACTAGGTGAGAACCCTTCTTTTGGAGCGTTGGCAAATTTGATCAAATTTGCGCATGATTGTGAAAATGCCACGCATTTATTGAATTCTGCATTGTCTGATTCTTATAAGAGAAACCTGTGTGGTAAGCCTTTCGAACGTTTCACAAGCAATTGCGTTCTTGTTTTCTTTCCGTGACGACTGCGTCTTATCATGAACGCAAAAAATGGTTCATTCATTGTCTCTTTAGCATGTTGCAGATTCCTCTCAAAAAATTGGCCGGGTTTTTCTCAGAGATCACTGATCACTTGTCTCCACCATCCACGCGAGCTTGGCATGTTCATCGATCTGTGCAGAGATATGGAAACCACCGGGCAAAAAAATATTTGCTGGATTCGCGTTGCCGATCGAACATTTGTGTTCCTGTAAGAGACGTTTGTTTTCTTGACGTGTTCCCAACTCAGATGTGATCTGCTTATGTGGGTGTGATATCTGCGCGCGCCTCATTTCACTCAGTGGAAGAGTGAAGAGCGTAGTAGCATGGCAACCACCCACCCACCCATCCACCCACCCCAACCCCCCCACCAAACACCGCCCGAAAGACTCGTGGGAACATGACAATGGTGTAGCATATGGCAAAAACACACGGCAGTCTATGCCCTGGGCGCCGTCTACTCCGCTGCCATGGGTTTGGCACCTAACAAAATCTGTCAAGTGTGGACTTATGATGCATGTGTATAAATTTATGGTCAACCGAAATTTAGATGTCTAAATTCCGCTTATGGATGTTCGAAAATGAAGAAAACCAACCACCACAATCACCATCATCATCATCATCATCATCATCATCATCACAATCACCGCCATCATCGCAATCACCACCATCACCTCATCACCGCATCACCCCATCACCTCATCAACACATCACCGCATCACCACATCACCTCATCACCACGCCACCTCATAACCTCATCACCAGATCATCACCGCATCCGCCGCATCACCACATCACCTCATCAACTCATCACCACATCACCAAGTGCTTCATCAATTTGCAAGGCAGTGATGGTAGATCGCGGTCGAATTGCTGTGTGAAGGTGGTGCTGGTGAGGATGGAATCGCACGAAACCCCGTGTTTCTTCTCGCGCAAAATGCATCCCGGCGTCGATGTGGGGAACCTGTCCGTGCGACGGCCCGGCCGTGATCAAGCGTGCTCGGACGCGTTATATCACTGTAAAAATGAAGTTGGGGGCGCGGATCGCACTGCCATGTAGTGACTGCTTCATGTTTGTGTTTGCAGTCTTGGGTGACGAAATTGTTTTGGGATTTGCAAGGCAGTGATTGCTCATCGCAGTGGCATGGCTTCGTGGGGGTGATGCTTGAACAAAACTTCATAAAACGCGCCTCGGCGGCGCTGTGAAGAACCTTCTGTGTGCCCGGACCATGTGCAGCACAGAGGGGCTGCACACTGAAACGCACAGACCAACACAAACAAACACAAAAGGATGTCAAGAAACTCATGAGACGTCAAAACACACAGGTCCTGAGGACAGCATGAAGAAGAGGAAGTCAAGAGAAAGTGCATTTGACGGAGAATATGATCCAGAAAGGAGCAGAGAAGTGAAGAGGGTACGGATGAAAGAGAGTGAGGACATGAAAAGAGTAGGGAAGTGCAGAGTATGGAGACATGAAAAAGTAGGGAAATGAACAGAGACAGGACACCAAGAGAGTAAGGAAGTGAAGAAAATAAGAAAATGAAGCCCGTAGGGACATGAAGAGAATAGGAAGATGAAAAAAAGAAGGGAAGTGGCAATACTATAAAAGAATAGACAAGTGCAAACACACTAGGGCAGCGAAGAGGGGAGAAGTGAGCAGGGAAATGAAAAGAGTAAGGAAAAAGAGGAGGATAGGGATGAAGAGAGTAGGGCGTGAAGAAAGCAAGGAAGTGGCGGGACTAGGGGGAGGAAGAGACTAGGGGAGTGAAGAGTGGGGAAGTGAAGAGACTATATAGTGAAGTGAGAGTAGAGAAGTTTGTTGGGAAAGAATTGTGTCAGATCTCAGGCTCCAGAGCAGGAAGGGCTGTCGAGATTCAGAGATGACAGGCACCAACCGGATCGAGAGAAAGTGGCATCATCAGAAGAGGAAGCCGAGAGAAAAACATGTCAGGGAGAAAAAAACGCCCAGACAAGGCAACAGGAAGGGCTGTCAAGATTCAGAGATGTCACGGGCAAAGCGGATCAAGCGAAAGTGGAGACGTCAGACAAGGATGTCAATAGGAGATCGAGGACAAAAAGGGCGTCTAAACGAAGAGAAAAAAGCGTGTCAAGAGAGAGAAATGTCAAGCAGAAAGAGTTCCAAGAAATGACGCAGTCAACGGCCGTGACAGGCAAGCGGTCAGGCTTCGTTCCTATAGGCCCCCCCTTTTCTTTATAGGCTTCCCCACGTTTCGAAACTTCCGTCACCCGGCTTGCCCGGGGTCGGCTGGTACATGCATATAAATATAATAACAATATCTATGTATCTATCTATCCATCCATCCATCTATCTATTTTTCTATCTCTAATTCTACTTATATTTAAATTTATGTCGCTTGACAAGAAACAACAACAGAAAATCATGAACCATTCTGTTTCTTCTGGTACAAAAGCATATTGCCAGCAAGTATGACCGAATGCTGCCCCTTCCCAAAGGCATTTGGAATTTGTGATCAGATGCAATCAGCAATTTGGATTCAGATGCCCATCTGCTGAGGCGACAAACAGTCCTTCGACATCAACTTGCGGCAAATGCGGCTTTGCCGTGCGGATCTCTGGCAAATGCGAAAAGCCCTCCATCAAGCGATCGCTCGAGAGACTGAAGAATCCAACAGAAGGCCAACAGAAAGGATAACAAGATCTTTGTCGCGTCTCCCCTATTCCTTCATTGAGCCACGATCATCGACACTCTACGGATCCCCTTTGGATCGTTTATGGTTAACTGTGGTGCACATGCAGCGTGCCCTGGAACGCGTTTCAGCCATGTATGCTCACTAAGAAAAGACCGCATGTTTCTCCACGCATTTCACGCCGTTTCACACATCATGTCTTTCATGATTTTTCATCAGTTTTCTTGTTCGCTGTACCTTCTGCCACACAAATCTTCCCCAACTTGCGAGGCTGTGGCCACCGACATGCCCGCACCGCTTCGAGCAAGCGCCAGTCAATGGCCTTGCGAAGAGAGACATGTTTAACACAACATGAAAAACGCGGGGCAAAGTGAAACAACTGAAACAAGTGTGAATTTTGAACGTTTGTGCTGGAATGAACGCACTAGGAGACGATCCGAAGTGGCAAAGTCTCAGAGAAGTGATTCCGGATACCCCATGGTCGTAATGCACATACGTGCCAAAACTCAAGAACTGCGTACTAGTATCGCAACCAAACATCTCGTTTCAATTCATTTCAGCGGTTTCCATGTTTGTGGATTGTGCCCAAAGATTGCGAAAACTGACATGGCGGTTATGAACGGGAGCTTCGGGTATGGGTTGCAGGTTCAACTATCCTTTAGGTGCCCACCTTTCCCAATGACAAAGCAGCCCTTTCTTGAGCCATGAAAAAGTCGGAGGGCACATAATTTGTTCGTGTCATCCGGCCTTCAGCAGGAGCCATGCTGTTTGCATGCTTTCAGTGCCAATCGCGCTCCCCCTTGCCCGCTGCACTCAGAACGCCTTCGGCTCATGGGAAACGCACTGTGGTTCACCATGTGATACATCTGGTTCAGGATGTGCCGCCTCTCCTCAGCGGTTGGCATGGTCAAGGCTGGAAGGCCTCATGCCTGTGAAAATGCGGGAAGCACATTTGCTTCCCACAGCTCGGCCTCACATAATAGACCGTGCCAAACCCGACTCGCCGACGGGGTACTTCGTCTGGCAGTCCATGCGTCGGTTGGTTCAAGAACACCTGGCTGCTTGAAGGCCAGCACCCCCACATTGGTCTTGCGCCCGCCTTGTTGGCATACTCAGAGGAGCCATCCTGGTCGACCTGCTTGTCGGCAGTGACCTCTACCTTGCTGCCACATGACAAGCCTCGCATTTTTTCTGTTTCCAGGTTTCAAAGTTGCGACCAGTTTGCCTGGTGTATGCTCAACATCAGTTCGGTGGCGGGGCATGTCCTTGCGGGCGGCTCTGATGTCATTGGTGCCCTCTGTCAAACTTGTGTATTCAGCCATTTCATTCAGAGGCACAGTTTGGGTCTGAAGGACCTTAGGCTCCACACATCCTTGAGGTTAAGCGCGGCCAGCGCACGCTCTCGCGCTCCTTGCTTTCAACCACCATGACCTTCATCCACATCCATTGGGAGGCGTTGTGATTCTTCCTGAAGGGCTGCAGTCCACCCTCGGTGCATCTTCCACGGAACCACCAAGAGGCCAGCGTTCGATCATCAAACTTGATGAACATGTCATACCTGGCAAGGCTGAGCTCGGACCAAAAGTTGAAGTTGCACCGGAGGCTGACCTTGATGTGCCAGTCCGCAACGTTGTTGAAGATGACATATATTGTGGGTTCCAAACAGACTGTGGTGTTCAGTGCCGCAACCAAGTTTCATCATGACCATGAAGGCAGAAGGCTCCCCCATGGGCCTACCCCCCAGGTTCTCCACCTCAACCATTCTCTCCCCATGATCTTCTAGTAGATTCTAGGCTCACCTTACCTCTGACTTGGAGCCAGGGCCATTTCTCAAGCTTGCATTCATCAGTTTTCGAAGCTCGTCACCCAACTGTTAGTACGGACTCGCCATGCCCTTGGTGAAGCACTTGCGCCGCAGCTTCGTCTTGACCAGCACCTTCACGTTGTATAGGGAAGCATAGCATGCTGCTTCAGATGAGTGCCGTGCCGCGGAGGGCCATTCCTCCACTTTTGCAGCAGCAGACTTGACTTGTGAACTGCAATATTTCGCTTCCTATATTCTCCCATTTGCGGGAGCATCGTCACCCGATGAGAAAGTTTGGAAAAGACTACGATGGCCTCCCCACGCCCGCACAGGTTTCGCTAACATTGCTTTGGCACGGTCTGAGTGGAGTTGGACAATTCAAACCCCAAGAGCCCGAATCGAAGCGGACCCACACCCGATCCAGGTGACATTTTGGATCTTGAAGGGAGCGGTGGCTTCTTCCATCTACTCTCTCCTTTTTTTGTTCAGCTTCTCAGACCTTTGGGGCCAGCCGCGTGCATCTGTTTGACTGACTCCTTGATCGTTTGAATCAACCCGAACCCCATGACGACCAGCAAAATGGTTTGCTTGAGACGCTGAGGCTCGATGCCCTTCTCATTCTCCCCGCGGTGCAACCCCTGTAGTTCATCCATACCTGGAAAGTTCATCAAGACGCTAGGCTGGTTGGGCTTCCGCCGGCTGCGGCCACATTTTCTATGATCCAGCGAGATCACTTCCAGGCCGAACTTCTTGGCCAAGGCTTCAAGCTCGCTAGGCAGCTGGATCCCTCCTTGCCAAGGTACTCACGTGGGGTGTTCCACCGGAAAGCCAGTGATCCCTGGTTGCAAAGCAACCACAATCGCAGCCGTTTTCAAGATCACAGCATCTTCCCCTCAAAGGACGCGGTCCAGGAGCCTTGTGTCGAAGGCAGGAGAAAGTTCTGCATGGCGGTCCACCCACCAAAACTTGTAGCAGACCTCGGCGGGCACATCATCAAATAGGCCCAGATGGCATGGTTGGAGATTGCAAGTTTTCAGTGCTGTTGGAGGCCACATCAAAGGTAATCACCTCGTAGCCAAGCGTCTGCAAATCCAGCCACTTTCTACTCGAATTCTCATCCTTAAAGAAGAGGTGCAGGACAATGGCGTTGGCCGATTCAAGCTGCCTTCGTCTCTGGCGATTTCATGGTAGCCCTTTAAGATAATTTCTCCAATCAATGCGCTGGCCCTTCATCGAGGACCCCTTCACCAACTTGGCCAGCAGCTTCATCGTCCCCAGCATGTGTAGAAGGGCAAGACCATCAGCTCGATCCATGACTGGACAACCTCGGAGTCGCCAGCCGCTTGAAGTGGTAGCTGGCCTCGATCAGCTGACGAAACGGTATTATCGGCGCAGCATTTTCTTTGGAGGGCAAAGTGCTACAGCCAGCTTTTCGAAAGAGGGTCCGCTGCACCTGCAATTTCTTCCGGACGTCCTTGACGTAGACCATGAGGGCTCCTCCGTCAAGTAGTGCCATGCAGTTGTGTTAAACCATCAACAATTTTCACCCGCCCTCCTGATGACCAGGCCCCCGGTGCTGCTTTGAGGTTCACCATGTGGACCACTAGCACCAAGTTGATCGCCGCCATGACCCATAGCACAGCGGATTCCGAGCCCCAGCGCGATCCGGTGTCCTCATCAAGGCTTGTATACTCCATGAGGATCGGAAGGATGCCGAAGCAATGGACCATAGCCAGGTTGCCCCCCCTTGTGCAGGAGGATGCCCTTGTTGGTGTTCAGCATCCCCTTAGACCACAAGATCACCTGTGGAGCAGGTGGAAAACCTTCAGGTCGAACAACAAGTGGATCCAAGCGCAAGAGGACCCAAAAGACCTCCGCCGGCAACCCCTTGAGTTCCTTGATCACCAACGTCACGTTGACCTACACCCGGTCATTTCCTCCAGCTCTTTAACGTCATTGTTGGCCCCCATGGCGGGAAGATGTTCAGGTCCCCCCAGAGCTTCCTGTGGAGCAGCTTGCCATCCCAGCTTCGCCTGGGGGCCACCCACGTCACCTCTTGAGTTCCACCCCAGCTTGGGCTTGTTCCCTGTTTTCCACCACTCGCGCCCTCAGATCAGGCGACCCCGCTGCAGTTCCCAAGTCCTGCAATAGGTCATCCAACATCTCAACGGCAGTCCTCTGGTCTGCCTCAGGACTCATCTCTTCCTCCACCATCAGAACCACAGCGTCAATGATGCATCATGACTTCAGAACCTCTTGGACCCAAAACCTGCGGTTGAACTGGGGCTTCGGGTATGGGTTACAGGTTCAACCCTTTAGGCGCCCACCTTTCCCAATGACAAAGCAGCCCTTTCTTGAGCCATGAAAGAGTCGGAGCATGCATAGTTTGTGCATGTCATCCGTCAGCAGTGCCAATCGACCTAAAATGGCTGAAGCGGTTTGAATGGGCTACAGGTAGCATACCAAGGAATGAAAGCCATGCGACAAATCACATGTGGGAAGCGCGCATAAAGATGCATAAAGAATTGAAAAAAATGTTTTGATCTGGGGCGGGCCTTGTCAAAGAAAGGGACCAGTTCAGCATCGAAGTCCTGCATGGAACTCAAGATGTCTCAACAATGCCCCTCAGCAAATTAGTCAGATTATGTCAGGTTGTATCAGGTTCCAGCCTCTCTCAAGGGTGCCAGCAGCAACTCATCCTCTGGTTGGAAGGAGAGCAGTTCAAGTGCCTCCCTGCAAGGTGGGGACAGATTGCGGAGTATCCAATGCATCCAATAGATTGGGGCCCAACATAGATGCAACAACATCTTGTACAACATGTAAACATGCAAAGCACCTACTAAGAGTACAACCTCAAAAATTCAACGCACACAAAACGAATAAAACAGTCACAATTTGCAATCGTGTTAACTCATGTCAACTCATCATGCCTGGTGAACTCCTCAAAGAGTTTGGTGTCACAGTCAGGGATCCAATCGGCCTGGTCCAGGCGCTGCAGTGCTGCTGCAGTGTCACAGTCGTGCAGGAGCCATTTATGATCACTGAAATTTGTTGATAGAACTATCACGCATGAAATACGCATGATACACAGGTTGGCACACTTTGGAATGTCAACTGAGTCAACTAAAAGAAAAGCAGGACAGTTGAAGTGTGAAGGTTTCAACAGGAAAAGATTAGGAGGGTCGACAGGTTGCACACACTTCTGTTTTTTACCGCATTCTACAAAGGTCCTACGTCAATGCTAAAGCCACTGTGGGCACTAACATTGGTCATTATTATTGAATAGCAATGGGTGAACGAGAGGTCGGGTATCCTAGATATCCCAAACACTCTTAAGGTGATATGCGTCAAAGTACATATCTTTAGACTCTAGACACAACCAAGCTGGAAGACCAAAGTTGCTTGTTTTTAGAGGCAACTTTCAAAGTTTGCACGTTCTTCTCAAAGTGGCACTAACATAATGTAGGCAAGTTTGGCAAAACATGCAACTTTTTGACATTTGAAGTCCTCTAGCCCCACCAGCACAGATTTTGGTGAGTCAGCTGAGAAATTTGGGCCTCAAAACATGTTGAAATTATTCTATGCCAAAGCTTGATTGTGGGGAAACCCTGCAGGCTCAACAAATGATGGCCGCAAAAGCACATCCAAGGGTGCCTGATTTCATCCCTCCATGACAGGGAACGCTTTAATTCACTCATCCGAACATTCCCTCCCTTCTGTGCAAGATTGACCTTCCTCGGCATGTAAATTTACATGGGAATGCGACGTGACAGGTTTTGCTCCGCAATGGACATTTATTTGCCCTTCCAACTTCCAACCCTTGACCCCTGGCAGTTGCGAACACAAATCATGGATAAATTGCACAAAGTATAGATACACAGCAGGCATAGATGTATATAGACAAAGTCAATATAGGATACACCGCAAAGAAGTCATAGAAATAGATAGGGTATTATTGATTCACGATGATTCACGTATACAGGGGTCTTTTTTAAGGCATAGCGTGGACGTTTCACGCAAAACAGCCAGGGACAAGTCAAAATGTGAGAAGATCAGGGCAAATTGAGCACTTATTAAGCAAAAAAAGCATTGCATTAAGAACACCTTTCTTCAGCGCGACAATATTTTCTATAGAAATCGATACCAATGTTTTCGATTGATGACAAAATAGTGCACCAAAATTAAAACATGGTCGCATTTTACGGGTCATATTTCGATGTGTCCCCTGACTTGACCATAGAGCATTAGAAGGGGATTATTTGCATCCTTCCATGTCACCGATGCATGCGTTTACCCGCCCACGCCCCACAAAATGAGAGTGCGAGCCAAACCACACATGCGACACCGTAAGATCCCACACAGTACCGTACGAAACCGCATTTAAAAAAAACGCCAGAAAGTTGCAAGAAAAAAACGTACGAAACCGCACGCGGGAATTCTGCACATTCTCATTCAATTCCTCGCAAGCTTTCCAATTGTTTGCAGGTGAAAACGCCGCAAGGCACGCCTTATAAGTTTGGATTTGACTTTTCAATGCCTGCCAAAATTGTGTGCTCAAATTACCGTCAAGCACTCAGCTTCGCCATGAAATGACTTTTGTACGCTAAAGGTTCTGATACTACCGCCAAGTTAACCTCTGTAACACTTTGATCTGTTTAAGCCAAGGCAGCCACGGAATGCAATCCTAATTTAGTGCCTGCTAATTGAAATAATGCTGTTACTAGGCTTCCACAGCGGCCGAAAGAAAGCACGTGCAAGTGGAAAAGTCTAGCGGCTAGCGGGTGAGCTACAATGCGACAATGCGTCGCTGGAATCGACAAGCGTTCAATCCCCGATTGTGTTCCAGAAAAAGTTTTTTTGGGCAAGAGTAAAATAACAGTAAACTTCGTGGTTACCAACGTCCAAGTTAAACTGCGAGGAACCTTGGTTTGGCTTGATTCACGCACCAGTTTACTGCAGGAAAAGCTTCAAGCCCACCGTTGGCTCTGAAACATTCGGAACTGCATGAATGCCAGTCCGAACCCAGCGTTAAAAAAAAAATGTGAAGCTCTGTGGAAAAACAATGGAAACATCGCGAGAAACATTGGGAACTACTATATGTTATAAACTTCGTACTGGAACTTACTTGGAATAGAAAAGGATGGAAAAGGTATACTTTCTCAGGGAGGCCCATTTTGATGTCGGCAAGAGTGGAAAGCACTGGCTGGAAGACTTGAGACAAAAGTGGCACCAAGTCAACCAGCCATCCGTCACATCTTTTCAAATCACATGAAGACCCTTCACCCAGCCAAACTAGGTCGCGCCGTGCCGGGTGGCCTGTGGGCGGCAGCGTCAGTGTCATTTTCCATATTCAAGCACGCCACTTGCAAAGCGTTCCCATCCCAACATGTTATCAACGTACTATGAAGATACGTCAACATGTTATCAACGTACTATGAAGATACTTCAACATGTTATCAACGTATATACTATGAAGATACTTCAACATGTTATCAACGTACTGTGAAGATACTTCAACATGTTATCAACGTATATACTATGAAGATACTTCAACATGTTATCAACGTATTATGACGATACGTCAACATGTTATCAACGTACTATGAAGATACTTCAACATGTTATCAACGTATATACTATGAAGATACTTCAACATGTTATCAACGTACTATGAAGATACTTCAACATGTTATCAACGTATATACTATGAAGATACTTCAACATGTTCTCAACGTACTATGAAGATACTTCAACATGCTCTCAACGTACTATCAAGATACTTCAACATGTTAGCAACGTACTATGAAGATATTTCAACATGTTATCAACATGTGCTGACGCCATAGTATCAAGGACGCGGTCGTCAGGACGTTAATATCCCACCCCACCCCACCCCACCCCACCCCACCGTGCTGTCAAAGTAGCATCACGTTGCATCATCAACATCTTCCTAGTTGGTGGAAAATGTGTTGACAACGTAGTATCAAGGACGTGGTCGTCAGGACACTAGTATCCCACCCCACCCCATAGGCCCATATACATATATATATATATATATACTTGAGGCCAGGGGAGAGGTACGAAAGATAGCAGGGCTGGGGTAGGGTGGTAATCATAAAGAAGATTAGCAAGGTGAAGTCGGAATGCGGCAACGGTCTGACGTGGTTTTTTGGAGTTGCTGCAAGTCACAAACGGCGCCAATCTTTTAATAATGATGAGGTTGCTGACCAGAACGATGAAGGAAACTAATGATCACCAAAGTGATGGTAACAGGAATGAGTTGATGACGTCGATCATGAGGACGAGGAGGATGATGAGGATGACGAAGATGATGGGGATGATGAAGATGATGAGGATGCTGAGGATGAGAATGAAGATGAAAATGAGGTTGGTGAGTATGATGAGCAGGGCTGTTGTAGGGTTGCCAAATCTATTGAGTCCAGCAAGCGAAAACCCCCCAATGCAGTCATCGTCTCTCGCCAAGTGTTGTATGCAAAAGAAACGCAATATCAAAAAGAAACGCCCCCCAAATGGAAGCCCGAATCTGCATAAAGATGTTCCAGACAATGCAACATATGTATGATGATGATAAGGATGATGATGTTGTTGACGATGATGATGATGATGATGATGATGATGTTCATGATGATGAGGAGGAGGAGGAGGAAGATGTTGCGAATGATGGGGATTATGATCATGATGATGAGGAGGAGGATGATGAGGAGGATGGGGATGACTGAGGATGAGGATGAGGATGGAGATGGGGATGGAGATGGAGGATGAGGATGAGGATTTTATTGATGATGAGGATGAGGATGAGGATTTTATTGATGATGATGATGATGATGATGCTGATGATGATGATGATGATGATGAGGATGATGAGGATGAGGATGAGGAGGGTGAGGATGAGGATGATGAGGATGAGGGTGAGGGTGAAAATGAAAAATGAGGATGATGACCCTCTACCAGCCGGAAATCTCCTCTCGGGGGACCAAGGGGGAATCAAACCTGGGCCTGCCCGGGGGGGGGGAGGGGGATAAATATCAAAAACACAAAAATGAGCTAAAACGCACAGGCCACCCGGCACGGCGTCAGCAACTACTCATGTTAGAATCATTGCGAATCCACACATCACTCCAAGAGCCTCAACAAGCTGCAGCGCTATCACAGTTCCCTCCTCAACGTCACCAGACATGCAGCTGTAACATGCTGTAACGCGTTGTCATGCTTTGTCTGTCAGCAAACCAATGCAGTGGCACAATGCATGCGGGAAGCATGTTTGAATGCTGGACTGCAAGTCCCACCTGCATCCCTGGCATTTTGATGCGAAGTTGCAGGGGCATAGGCTCTCCTTGGCTTGGATGCAAACTATGAATTTTTCCACCCAATTCAACATTTCTTTACGCACAGCCATTGGAATTCAAGAAGTCGTGCTTTCGGATTTCTCCGCTCAGCCGAGAGGCTCCACTCGAATGAGCGACGCAACAGAGCCAGTGGAAGCCACAAACTATCCTGGACATATTTGGACAAAAGTGCCAAGGCATGAGGCGAAATCAGCGCAAATAAACATGTCAAAGCCAAGTAAACAAAATACAAGTACGTTCCTCGAGTGTTTTCGCCAACTGACATTGTATCTAGCATACAATCCGACATGTACTGTGACATTCTCTCGGGCATTCTATCTGACATTTTATTTGGCCTTCTATCTGGCATATGCATGTGGCATTCTACCTGGCATTTTGGACCTGGCATTCTCTCTGACATTCATCTGACATTCTTTCTGGTCCTTCAGCTGGCATTGTAGCTGACCTACAACACGTTGTTTATGCCATTCTATCTGGCATTTCATCTGGAATCATGTCTGGCAGTCTATCTGACATATATTCTGTCGTTTTTTCTGGCGCTCTTTCTGGCATGCATTCTGACATTCCATCTGGCATTCTTTCTGACACATTTTTCTGACATTCTATCTGGCAT